CAGATGTATGCAGACTATATATATATATATATATATATATATATATATATAAACGTTGGCTAGCAATTATAAAGTGAGAAAATATAGCTAAGTGAAACTAACATCCAAACTGCTATTTGTTATTAAAATGTTATTAATGAATGCTTCTATTTCACTATTTCATACAGAAACAACAAGGACCTTGTGTGCACAAAATGTAAAGAAGAAGATCCCAGTGTTGAGAATGACACTAGTGTACTGACTCTTGACCAGGTAATCAAAACTCCATCCATCCATCCATCCATCCATCCATCCATCCATCCATCCATCTATCTATCTATCTATCGATAAAATATGTGATGGCTACAGAGGCGTGTTCACATTCAGACCTGTCAAAGGTCTGATTTTGACAGTGGAAGCATCGTGACTCATGTTTGGAAAGTTATTATAATTTCCCCTCTTGTTTAAACCACAGTTCTTCAACGATGCAGCTATTAATAAGGAAATTTTGGATCTGAAAGTTCACTGTGCCAACCAAGGCTGCCCCTGGAGAAGCACCCTGAAGAACTTTGAGGTACTTAGAAATTCAGTTTATTTACCTTGCTGAAATTTAAAATGAGTAGAGATTGTCTGATTCTAAATCAGCGATGTAGTTACTTGAATGGATCTGTAATGCACTGACTTAACACTATACAGTATAAGCAGATGAATGATCAAGGCCATACTCGATTTGTGAGATTTTCTGAACTATGTATTTATTTATGGCATGGGAAATGTTTTTTTTTTTTTTTACTTCACAGGACATGATGTGAAGATCACACATGTGAGCCACTTCCTGAGCCATCAGATAAAGTCTAGCACTTTCTACTGTAGTTCAGATTAGAACATTGAGCTAATAAATGTAAGACCAGAGATCAGGGTTGTTCACGGGCTGCTACACATTCATGTAAAACCTATAAAGCTATTGAGAACACTGTAATGTCTTTACACTTGACTGAGTCAAAAATCAATGTGGATTATGGGGCTTGTATCGATCACATTAGCAACCATGGCTTTTCTGTTATCACATTGTTAAATCATAGGAACTCATTAAAAAATAGCTGCATTTCATGGCAGGCAGTCATACTCGGTTACAACCACAAGATGCTATTTTACGGGAATCCTAACATGGTAGCTTTGTGGTCATTTCGTAACATGAACCAGCCATTAAGGCATTAATCATAGAGCTGTTGTGGAGATGTTGTCCAGTGTAGTGAATCAGTCCTCAGTCTGATTGAGTAGTAACAAACTCATACTTTAGGATTTGAAAAGCCTCTACAACTTTTAGAGGTCAGTGTTTTGTCGAGTAAAATGTTCTATGACTTTGACCCTCATGGCTGCCTAATGGAAGTCTTTTATGTTTTTACCTTCTTTCTATACTCAAGAGAGTCTGAAAGCCTTTTGAGAATATCGTATTATTCCCTATTACAATAGAAACATGTAGGCTGGGCTTTAGATTTTATGTTTTTCAGCGGAAACTATATGATCAAAAGCATAAGTTTTAGAGGTCAAGTGTATAGAAATAAAGTATCATTATGTAATTTGTAGTAATCAATGATCATACTTGCTTAGTGGAGTAGTTCACCCAAAAATAAAAGAATTTGTCATTACTTACTCACCCTCATGTTGTTCCAGATCCATACGCTGTTATTTTTTGCACTAGAAAACAAACTGAGATGTTTTGAAGAATCTTCATACAGCTTTTTTCATACAATGACAGTTCATAGTGACCGACAGGTTCTAAACCTGGCAAAACACCATTACTAAAGCAGAAAAATAAGTCTTTTAAAGACAAACAGACCCAAAAATATTTACTAAAATTGAACTGGTATGGTGCTTTTTTTCTGGATAGGCATTTTTTGGATACTCATTATGAACAGTCCTTGCATGCAAAAGAGCTGCTGAAGATTCTTGGATGACAAAAGTCTTTTGTTTTTCTAAGAAAAAAGGCATACAGATGTGACATGAGATTAAATACATTTTCATGTTTTATTTGAATTATCCCTTTAATATGCTCAATGACTCATTCAACAGGACCATCAGAGTCAGTGTGAATATGCCCTGATCCCTTGCAACATTGGCTGTGGCTTAATGGTGCAGAGGAAATCACTGGCTACACATCTGGAGGGAGGCTGTCCCAACAACAAGACCACATGTCCCTCTTGTTCAGGTGTCCTGACACCGAGAGAACTCCAGGTAGGGTCAGAAAATGACACTTTAGAGACTGCAAAATATTATTTTCCCGAATCAGTATTTTTGCATTGTTTATCTAGTAAAATATCGAAATAAATTTGTATCCTTTAAACAAGATACGTTTTAGAAGCAAAATTATATAATAAATTCAGAATTAAAATGTTATTTTTCTTTTACTTTTTTTTGTTTGTTTGTTTTGAACAGACAACAGTTTGTTTCGTTTGGTCAGATTTATTCTTCAAACTTAATAAAAATAAACCTAATTCATTTCATATATATATTTTCCATGAACACAAGACTGTCATACACATATTTTGCTTCTCAGTGGAATTTTTAAGTATGTACCAACATACAAACTATATTTGTGCAAATCACATATACATGTACAGTATGATACATGGGTGATATTGTGCGAATAGGCCCATAGTGCAAGATATTCGGCCTCTTTCGTTGTTGCTAAAGTGGTTTTGGGTCAGCGTGCCCTTGCTTGAAGCCCCATGGCTCGGTTTTAAGCCACAGGTGGAGTCTCCAGTGTTTACTGCTGTCCCATATTACTTTCTTTTCCATTTCACCCATCGGGACATGGATTAGAGGAATGAAAAGAAGGGAAAAAAAGCAGCAATCCAGTGAATTTAAACATCAATCATCAAACGCAACACATTAGTCAAGATATCTTCAAATGCAATGTGTTTCACGCTTCAAATTAAGATAAAAAGTCTCAATGAGATATTTTGGAAAGTTTGTGGCACAAAATTATTTGAGCAAAACTTTCATCACTGTTGTTAGTGAAAGTGACATTTCCAAATTTTTTCACAGAAGCATGTTTGTCCCAGTTCAGGTGATAAGAAGACGACGAAGACAGATAAACGACAAAAGGTAGAAAAGCTGGTGGATCACTGAATATTGTACCCTGAAAGGGAATGTACAAACAAGAACAATTCTAAAGTATGATACTGTGTTTCCTTTATAGAATAATCACCCAGGCAGCTCAAAAAAGAAGGAGCCATGCATTTTCTCGGACATTGGTTGTCCTTTTAAGGTTGGCATTTAATAACAGTACCTGTTTATGTTAATCATGATGTATTATATAGTTTTGTGGAACAGAGTTTTATGTTGAGCAGAAACTTTTAGATACTTGAGCCACGTTTTTAAAAACAAATGGTCTACAGACAATTTGAGAGGATAATTTTTAAAATGAAAATATTAAAAGTATTTTAACAGTATCAAATAAAAATATATTTATTGTTTTATAATTTATATAATATTTATATAGCTTGATATAAATATATATATATATATATATATATATGTGTGTGTGTGTGTGTGTGTGTGTGTGTGTGTGTGTGTGTGTTCACACACATGCATGTATACATTTCAGAAAAATATGTTATGTTTATATATTAAATAGATTTATATATAATATAAATTATATTAATATAAATATATACATGTAAATACGTGTAAATATTTTCAAAATATATACTGTATGTGTGTGTATTTATATATACATAATAAATATACACAGTACACACACATATATTATGTAAACAAAAACTTTTATTTTGGATGCGATTAATCGCGATTAATCATTTGACAGCACTAAAAATACATTTAAATTGATCTTAATTTTTTTCTCTAATATTCTAATATTAGCTAGACAGAGAAAACAAATATTTTGCAGGAAAAAAGAAAAAGGAAAAATGCTCCAAATTTAAAGGGAATCATTTTCAGGAATTCACAGAATTAAAAAAAAAAAAAGGTTTGGAAAAAATCATAGACAAATCACAGAAAATAATCATGCACTATACTTTTTTATTATAAAAATAATACTTTTCTGTTTCTTCCTGTATGAATTTTGTTTAGCTTTGAAAAAATTGCTTAAAATTTTGCTTGAAAAATAAACAAACAAAAATCATTAATGGTGTAACAAAAAATACAACAAATAAATAAAATAATATTCTCTGAAAACCAGTCTCATTACAATGTTATTGCAATTGAGAAAGTAGTGTTTTATGGGAATTATACAGTTTTGCTGCAACGTTTTATTTTCAGGGCAATGCAGACAAAGTAAAAGAACATGAATCCTGCAGCCATGTTGGCCATCTACAGCTTCTCTTGGATGTGACCAGAGCTCTTCAGCGTACCTTGAATTATTCAGCTGAGCGAAGCCACCATGAAAGCCCTGATCTTCTTCAGCCTGGACAGTGTGGTGCGTCCCACATTGAGGGTGAGATTGAGACCGACGTAGGGGATCCAGGAGTGAGTGATAAGGCCCTCAGTCTCCACGATGATCAGGCTGAACTTGCTGTAGGCCAGCAACTGGACGCTCTACAGCAGAGAGTGCAGGTTATGGAGAACATCATCTCAGCTTTGAACCGAGAGGTGGAGAAGACGCAGATCAGTGTGGTTGTGCTGGAGAGGGACAATTACAACAGTCAGCATCTCATTCAGCACTTGGAAACCAAGGTAAATTATAAAATAAATCTGTGTCATGACACTAATGGTGTGGGAATTTCAACTTTAAATGGAATTAAATGGGAACTAGGGAACTTTTAGACACTGTACAGATGATGAAATTACATAGCGGTGGTGCTGCCACACTGATGCTCACATGCAAATTTTCTGCTAATATCCTGTCAATCATGTCCACCAGTTTGAACATTAGAATTGCAATGCAGTTGCACGCCTTGTCAGAAAGGTTTAGGGAAAAAATTTTTTTTTTTTTTTTTTCGGATTCTTTCTTGAATTGCTTTTGAAATAGTCTTTTGGTGATAGTCTCAAATAAATAGAATAACAGGAATAAATATTTACCGAATTGCGGTCAAACACGTTTAATTTTAAATAATTATGCCTGATTGTTTATTCTGTGTTTGTAGAAACGTTTTTTCCTAACTTAATAGGTATATACTACTGTTCAAAGGTCTGTACGATTTCTAAATGTTGTTTTTTTATATATATATATATATTTATGGAAACTGTGATAATTGTTTTCAGGATTCTTTGATGAATAGAAAGTTCAAAAGAACAGCATTTATTTTTATATTTTTACTTGTCACTTTTGATCAATTTAATGCATCCTTGATGAAAAAAGCATTAATAAAAAATAATAAAAAAACTTACTGACCCAAACCTTTTGAACAAAAGTGAATTTCACAAAACAAAGTTCAACATTATGTAAATAATTCATAATAATTCATCCATAAATCCATCACATTGTCTCCAATATTCAAATTTTGAATGAACTGATAATGAAATATAGCAGGTTTATTTATTAAATGAAATGAATATAAATTAAATGCAAATTGTGCTTTTCAAACATCAATTAAACATCATTAATTTCACATAATGCTTCTTGAAATGTGTGTATGATAACATGTTTATGGTTAATTCATACTGAAGATTACCTGTTTTATTAAAAGCTACACTTACAGCAGATATATTAATCAAATTACAACTGTGCATCCTGCTGCCTCATTTCAAATATCAGGAATTCAGTGCAGTTCTGAAGCATTATGGAAATAATGTGATATCAGCACAACCCTGATATCACATTATTTCCATCCTGGATTATTAAAATCAAAGCACATGCTTTTCACTGTGTGTAAATAGCAACAACAGATTTCATTACTTTGATGTGTCCTTGCAGTTTACTAGGCATTGATCTCATGCTGTGAATCTGCAATATGGTTGGAGCTAATGAATGTGTTTGTGTTACAAAAGAGCTGAAATGCTATATAGGAATCTCTGGAAAACATTTGTTTCCTGTGATGTGTTTTTTGTTTGTAGCCGCTGGGTTGCATAATTCATGCTTTAAATAAGGACTCACATAAAACTAACAAAGGTATTCTTTTGGGGAGGTCTGAAATGATCATTTATTTGTCCCTATGCTCATCTTAACACCGGGAGGTGATAATAAATGATTACGGCTGTGTTCTGACACTCGACCTGGAGGGGTTATTTAACACAGGGAACCGAGATGACACTCCTGAAATGCTGAAAATGAAGAGATAAGTTGAAGTACGGATGAGAAGGGAATGAGTGGTAGAAAATAGATTTGTGTGACAATTCTCCAAGTGCGGTTAAGAAAAAAAAAAGCATGTGTCTAATAGGATGTCGCCATCTCGTTCATTTTCTGTATTTTGAAGTGTTTCACACAAGGCTGTCGACCTTAACCAGCTCTGAAGGTCCATTATGATACATTAATATTGTGCTTTTGCAGTGAGCCAATCTGTACCTTTGGGTGATTCATCCATGATAATGGTTTTCCATCACATTCTAGGTAGCGGAACAGCTGCAGAGACTGGTCAGGAAAGACATTCACATCACTTCATTGCAGCAGTGTATCAGCGCCCAGCAGGACATCTCATATGATGGCACCTTTCTCTGGCGGTTGTGTGATGTCAGCCAGAAACTGATAGAGGCTGCCAGCGGCCAAAAGATCAGTCAGTACTCGCCAGGTATCAAAGCACATATCTCTCCTGTACTGCTCTGAAAGGCAGAGTTCTCTAAAAATAAACATTCTGTCATTTACTCTCATTTACTCTGTTATCATTCATCCTCATGACATTCTAGACCTGTATGACTGACTTTCTTCTTGAACTCTCTTAACTAGACTTTGTTCTTTCTACAACCTGAATCTGGAAAGAAGAAAGTCAGTCATAAAAGTATAGAATGGCATGAGGGTGACAGAAATGATGACAGAGTAAAATCCCTCTCTCTCTATCTAGTATATATATATATATGATACATTAATATTGTGCTTTTGCAGTGAGCCAATCTGTACCTTTGGGTGATTCATCCATGATAATGGTTTTCCATCACATTCTAGGTAGCGGAACAGCTGCAGAGACTGGTCAGGAAAGACATTCACATCACTTCATTGCAGTCATTGCAGCGCGCCCAGCAGGACATCTCATATGATGGCACCTTTCTCTGGCGGTTGTGTGATGTCAGCCATGTCAGCCAAGAGGCTGCCAGCGGCCAAAAGATCAGTCAGTACTCGCCAGGTATCAAAGCACATATCTCTCCTGTACTGCTCTGAAAGGCAGAGTTCTCTAAAAATAAACATTCTGTCATTTACTCTCATTTACTCTGTTATCATTCATCCTCATGACATTCTAGACCTGTATGACTGACTTTCTTCTTGAACTCTCTTAACTAGACTTTGTTCTTTCTACAACCTGAATCTGGAAAGAAGAAAGTCAGTCATAAAAGTATAGAATGGCATGAGGGTGACAGAAATGATGACAGAGTAAAATCCCTCTCTCTCTATCTAGTATATATA